GCACACTAGGTCCTCGGTTGATCGTCTCCCACCCCCTCCCCGCCTTCCCTCCGAGGTTCTGCACTCTGTTCCGTGTTCCGTGTCTCTGGCTCCACTCCCTTCACCGGTTTATTTTGTGGCTCAGATTCCACATGAGAGGGAGCCCTTGCGGAATTTGTCTCCCTCAGCACGATGTGCTCCGGAAAAAGAGGCCGCTCTTTCCCCAGCCGCATCGCACTCCCTGCTGCGAAGGCGCCTCAGCTCTTACCGCTCACCTGCCCATGGGCCCCTGGCTGCTTCCGGATCTGAGCTGTGCAGACGCTGACTGTCGGTGGGTGGCCAGTCCCCTGTGCGCAGGCTCTCACGATAGCGTGTCCTCCCCAGAACGGGCTGCTGTCCGCCCTCCCCCACCTGTGCTGCTGGCTCTTGGGCATCCTCGCGGGGCACGTGTCCGACGGCTTCCTGTCCAGGAAGATGCTCAGCTTGCTCGCCATCCGGAAGCTCTTCACCGCGCTGGGTAAGTGACGGCCCAGCCCGGTCCAGCTCCCGCGGGGCCCCCCCACGTCCAGGACGCACCTGACCGTGCCCCCCGACCGCCCAGGCCTCCTCCTGCCCGCCGTCTTCGTGGTGGGCCTGCTCTACCTGGGTCCCGGCTTCCACGGCACCGTCGCGTGCCTCACGCTGGCCAGCGCCACACTGGGCTTCTGCGTCGCCGGGATGGTGATCAACCCCCTGGACATCGCCCCCAGGTAGCGGTCACTTTCCCCTTCTTGGCTGCGTCCCGGCTCCCGAGGGTGTTTAAGGTTGCGGCGGTTCTGGAGTTCGCGGCCAGCTTGCCAAAAGGCCGGCTCTGTGCAAGGCTTGGCTGCTCCGTGGCTGCTGCTGTGCGCACGTCTGTGCGTCCTGAACCCTCCCGGCAAGTGAGGGGTATTTACCTGCTCACTAAGGAGGCCGAGGTTCAGGCACTTCCTTGCTGGCCTAAGAGCTCACCGCCGGTTTGGGATCGTACCCAGGGTTTTATATATATAAGTATATTTTTTATTGATCTCAGAAAGGAAGGAAGAGGGAGAGAGAGAAACATCAATGATGAGGGAGAATCACTGATCGGCTGCCTCCTGCACGCCCCCCACTGGGGATCCAGCCTGCAACCCGGGCCTGTGCCCTGACCGGGAATCGAACCGTGACCTCCTGGTTCCTAGGTCGATGCTCAGCCCCCAAGCCAGGCCGGCCAGGCCACGTTGTTCTTAATGGTGCCAGCGATCCTCGGAGAACACAGACCCGGCTCCCCAGAGCTGTGTGGAGCAGAGGCCGGGGGAGAGGCAAGCTCGGGCGGGCGTGGCGCCCTCTGCCGCAGCCTGGAGAACCTCGCCGTCAGCTCCGCTCCGCGGGGTGAGCGCACAGTCCTGAGGACGCGTGTCCCCTGCATTGACTCAGTTCCAAGACCCTCCCAGAACTGCCCGCAGCGTCCGGTTCTGTGGAATTGTCTGAAGGCATAAAAGGGGTCTTTTACAGAGAAGCACAAGCCAACGGAGCCACAGGCTTTGAAAAACAAGCCGCGTTGAGCATCCGTACACAAATAGGCAAAGGACATGATGAGCAGCTACCACTCTGGGTCTTTTCATCCACGGGAGATGCAATGTTCTAAAGCTCTGTGCATCCAGGGAAGCAGGACTTGAGAGCGCGGTTGAATTCCGCGTAGGATTGCGCAGGGAGAGGGTGGCTGACATCGCCGCTGGCAAAGGCCTGAGGAGGCCAGTAAAGACCACACGTGGTCACCACAGCCACGGGGTCAGGGAGGCCGCAGAGAGCAGAGCACGCACCTGGGCGAGGCGTGCTAGCAGCGCCCACCGCGCTCTCGGTTACCCTTTGCCGGTTCTGGGACGAGGCAAAGGCTGGTGTCCCGGGTTGGGCCCTGGCCGAAGGCTCTGCCCTGGAGAGAAATGCACCCAGCACCCGGTGGTTGCTCAGGGCTGCAGCGACAAAGTTAAACATTAAGGGAGCTTAAACACAAGGTCACCTTTTCTCCCTAAGATGTTTGTTGGATTCTGAAGTTCGCGGGGGCAAGGGGCAAACCCCCGAGCAAAACCCTGTGAGGAGCACAGCAAAGAGGAAAGCCTGCCGCGGGGCCAGGGAGTAGAGGCCTGTCGCCCGCACGTCGCAGCGGTGAGCCCGCGTCTGACGCTCCAGCCACGACCAGCGGCCCCGCTGCCTGGGGGCGGCCCCGGGGCCAGTCGCTCTGGGGCTGTGGGGCTGACCAGGTGGACGGTCCTTCCATGTTGATGAACCCTAAACCACTCCCATGACCAACACCCATCACCTCTGAGTTCCTCCGCTGTGTGTGCCGACTTCCAGGCCAACACGGTCTCATTGTCTCAGCATCGTAACATCATTTACTGCTGAGGCCCACGTCCCCCCTGCAGTGTAACCGGAAAGTTACTCATATAACCACCGTCTCCGTCCGATCTTTTTAAAAATATGCATTTTTTTAAGGTGAAGGGAGAGAGAGAGAGAGAGAGAGAGAGAGAGAGAGAGAAACATCAATGATGAGAGAGAATCATTGAATGGCTGCCTCCTGCACGCCCCACACTGGGGATCAAGCCCACAACCCGGGCCGGGAATCGAACCTGTAACCTCCTGGTTCACAGGTCGACACTCAACCAATGAGCCTTGGTGGCCGGGCCTCTGTCTGACACCTCAATGGCGTTTGAGGAGGAGGATGGGAAATCTGGGAAACCAACAGCTATCGTTCTTAAGCCTCATCTTGAACCAAATGAGGTTCAAGCTTTAAAAATACACCTGTGTGTTGTCATCCTCTTTTGTGCAGATATTACGGGTTTCTGAAAGGAGTCACGGTTCTCATCGGAATGACGGGGGGGCTCACTTCGTCCACTCTGGCTGGGATAATCCTCAATCAGGTAAGAAACGGATCGCGCCGCCCCGGGAGATTGGTACAGCTGGGCCGGGGGGCTCCGTGTTAACCACACTCACAAGCCGCTCACAGAAATAGGGTCCTGAGAGGAGTCAGGGTGTCTCAGAACCAGACCCACAGGGGCAGGTGCTCAGAGACACCGGAAACGCATCTGAGGTTTAAAGACATAAAAGAATCGAAACTACAGACATGAAACATGAGATTTGACCAAAAAATATACAAAGATCACCTCTGGCCATTACAAACGTCACACTGAAGTTAGGACAAGTGCGGTGCCCGCTTCCCGGAGCCGAGGGGCAGGCCCGGGAGGCTGTCTGGGTAGAGTGCTGGCCTCCCGCTCCTCCCTCTGCCGTGTCCAGCGTGGAGCCCGTCCTCGTGTTCATGTTTTCAATGCCGCAGACATCGCGATGCGCCCGACCACGCGCCTCTATTTGCACTTTCATCCCGCAGGACCCGGAGGCCGCCTGGTCTGCCATCTTCCTCCTGGTGGCGGCCGTCAACGTGAGCAGCCTCCTCTTCTACCTGGTCTTCGCCGCGGCCGACGTGCAGGCCTGGGCCCAGGAGAAGCAGCTCACCCGGCTCTGAGGGCACAGGGTGGGTGGTGGGCGGGGTGTGAGCGGGCGGCTACCCTCTCCTGCGGGCACTGGGTGCGGGGCTCTGGGCTGTGACCATGGGGCTCTGGCTGTTCCGGGCGTTTCTTTGGTGGCAGCTGCGCCCGCCATCTGCTGGGCGTTTGGACACGATCTCGTGGGGGCTGTCAGCCCCCCTCCCGCGGTCCTGGCTTCCTCTCTCGCCCGGTGAGCAGTTGTCCTCCGGCCCCCAATGCTCTCACCAGGACAATGGGAGGTAATTGGTTCCCGTGTCCACAACACACCCGGAGCCACACGCGTGGGGTTTCCACCGAGCGGTCCTCCAGGCTCTGCAGACGCCAGCGGGGTGTCCTTGGATGTCATTCAGACGCCGACTACCCAGAGGTCATCCGGACCCCACGGTTCAGGGCCGGGTCCCCCCGACGGCCCTGGCGTCAGACACGGACCGGAGTGGCGGTGCCCGAGGTCCCCATGCTTCTGTTGCTACCACGACCCGCTCCTCGGTTTGACAATTTGCTAGAGACTCACAGAAAATAGGAAACAGATGACTCACTAGCATCGTTTATTATAAAGGCTGTAACTCGGAAACGGCCCAGTGGGAAGGTACACAGGGTGGGGGTGGGGAGACACGCAGGGGCTCCGTGCCCTCCCCGGGGGCACCCCCTCCCCGCACCTCTGTGGAGTCACCCACCCGGAAGTTCTCAGAGCCCGTCACTTGGGGTTCTTATGGAAATCTCACTGCGCAGGCATGAGGGTTCAGGCATGGGCCACTGATGAACACCCCCGGCTCCAGCCCTCTCCCCTCCTAGAGGCTGGCCCCTGGCAGCGGCCCCCACCCCAAGGCTCGCAGGGCCCCGGCCGCAGTCCCCTCACCTTGAACCACAAAGACACTCATCACCCCAGAAAGTCTAAGGGTCTTAGCAGCTCATGTGACACCAACAAGGGACTCAGACCAAACAGGGTAACAAACGAGACTCCCATTTTCCCGCCACTCAGGACGCCACGAGGGCGGGAGGGTTCCTGTGCCGGGAACGGGGGGCAGAAACCAGCTACACGTGATCATGTCCTAGCAACAGTGGGAAGAGTGAGCAACACAAAGAGATCCAAACGCAGCCCCGGCCGCCTTGGCTCAGTGGGTAGAGCGTCGACCTGTGTACTGAAGGGTCCTGGGTTCAATTCCCAGTCAGGGCACAAGCCTGGGCTGCGGGCCGGATCCCCTGTGGGGCGTGCAGGAGGCAGCCAATCAGTGATTCTCTCTCAGCATTGATGTTTCTATCTCCCTCTCCCTTCCTCTCTGAAACCAACAAAAATATATTTTCTTGAAAAGAAATGCAGACACTCCCACGCTTGCAGGAGCTCACACTTCAATCACTGCCGCCTCCTCCTCCCCGAACCCCAATAAACCTCCAGGCGGAGCCTTCAGGGTCCGAGAAGAGACCGGAAGCAAAGTCGGTTCAACGAAAGCACCAAAGGGCAACGCCCGGCCACGGCTCACAGGCGGGTGAGGGTCTGCGCGCGGGCCCAGTCCTGCACCTCCGCTCGGCTGAAGACGAGGAAGAAGACCAGACCCGAGACGTCCACAGCCGCGGACAGCAGGAAGATGTTTCTCCATCCCAGCTCGGCGTCCTGGAGACGAGCCACGGGTCACCACGGCCCCCAAGCGCGTCCCTCCCGTTCAGAGGGCGGTGGCTCCAGCCTCCCCTGCCACCTCCCAGCTCAGCTCCGGACTGTGGGGGAGCCCGGCTGAGCCTGGGACACGCAGGGACGCCAGCCTTTCCCTCTGCAGAGACGTGTCCCCCCAACACTCCCCCCAACGCACACCCCCAAGACCCTCGAGAGCACTGTCTCTCTCCCCTGCTTGCTTCCAGCCCTCGGCTTAAATATCATTTTTTCCATGAGTCCTTCCTCGACCACCCTATTTAAAATGGAAATCCAGCCCTCGTATTCATTTCCTATCGGTTCCTTTTCCGGAATAAAGGCTTCCCAGCGGCAGGCACTTCCACCTCGTCCCGTAGTGCCTTGTGTGGCGCCTGCCCAGGGTCCATGCATGTTTGCAGAATGAATGAATGAATGAATGAATGACAGGGAGACCCTGTCAGCGTGAGGATGTCCATTTTAAAGGACCATTTCCTGACGAGTAGTAGTGACTGAAAGGGAACTGAAGCTTCGAGTGACAAAGGCCGTGATGGCAGACAGGACACACCTTCCTCCTTAGTCTCCACTTTCCTGACTTCCTTGTGGGAAATCACAGCGAACTGAAAAAATGATACTCACGTGGCCCGGCAGGCGTGGCTCAGTGGCTGAGCGTCGACCTGTGAACCAGGAGGTCACGGTTCGATTCCCGGTCAGGGCTCGATCCCCAGTAGGGGGCATGCAGGAGGCAGCCAATCCATGATTCTCTCATCACTGATGCTTCTATCTCCCTCCCTCTCCCTTCCTCTCTGAAGTCAATAAAATATATATTAAACAAGAAAAAGAATGACACGCATGCGGACGCCATGTACGTCTCCTTTGCCCCCGGATTCCGAGGAAGCGCTCAGGTGTCCGTGGAAGCCGTCCACCCTGGGAACTTGGACACATCTCCCAGGACAGAGGCTGCTCGACGCCGCGGCTCCCCCCACTGTCCTCCGCTCAGCCTCTCGCTCGCTCGTTCTGCCTGTGTGTGCTGGGTTCCCACGTGGGGTGACCGTCTCTTTCCCGGTTGCCGGGAAAAGGTGTGAGGACTGAACGTCCCGCGTGCCGGGAAGCCCTGCCCTCCCGAGCGGCCCGCAGCGGCGGCCCCTGTCTGCTGCTCAGGAAGGTCCGCAGCGTGGCCACCAGCTCTGATGACAAGCGTGGAAGCTCACCGCCTCAGACCTCGTGAGGCAGCAAGGCAGGGGGTCCAGCATGCTCCTCCCTCCGCCCGAACGCGAGGGCTGCGGGCGCTGAGCTGCCAGCCGAGCCACGTGGCGGAGGAAACGCAAACGCCCTGAGTCTGACTGGGGGAGGGGGGGGGTGCCTGGAGGTTCCACTCGGGAATATTTTCACCAGGACCTTTGACCTCACCTGACTGAGGAAAAATCCAGAAACCGTGGGAGCGATGACTCCTGAGAGCTGAACAAAGACCAAGGATAAGCCCTTGATAAAGCCAGTGTACCTGAGAGAGAACGAGAGAGAGAGAGAGAGAGAGAGAGAGAGAGAGAGAGAATCAGCAAAGGGTCATCTCAGCTGCTCTGCTGCCGTCCTGCGCTCAGCTCAGGGGGCCTGGGCTTGTGGTGACCCTTCGTCAAACCTGATTGAAACAGCCCGGCCAGCGTGGCTCAGTGGTTGAGCATCGACCTATGAACCAGGAGGTCAGGGTTCAATTCCCAGTCAGGGCACAGGCCAGATTTCAGGCTCCATACCCAGTGGGGCTGTGTAGGCAGCAGCTGATCCATGATTCTCTCTCGTCATGGACGTCTCCACCTCCCTCTCCCTCCCTCCCTCTCCCTCCCTCTCTATTGTCCATAAAAACATGTTTTTAAAAAACAGAACCCTGAGCGAAACGTACTGGCCACGACGGCTGCCACCCTGTGCAGGGCCTGCAACTCCCACGGGGCGGCTGTGCTAACGGGTCAGTGTTGTTCATACAAAACAGACAGATGGTGTTTGACCCCGTTTATGCATCGCCTCCTGGCTTCTGCTGTGAAGTCCACCCTGGCAGCCTTGCTTTGGGGGACACAGACCCCTCACTGGATGAGACGTGTCTCCCGCGTGTCCTGCTGGCCCACGTCCAAAGGAATGTGTCCCGAGGACTATGAGTCTCCGTGGTCTCTGATACCCAGCTGTCCCGGAGGCGGATGCCCCTCATGCGCCTGCCCTTTGGCCTTATCCTGCCCCACGTGAGCAAGCCCCGTGGCCCGAGGCCGCGTGACCGCAGCATCCCCCTCGGGGAACGATGGCTCCTTCCGGACAGCATCTGGATGCAGGGCTGGGGCCGACATTTCCCAGGCTCCATCCCACATGTCACTCGCACGCTGACCCACGGTCACGGAGGACCAGGCCCCCGGACGGAGACTGAGCGGCCGTGGGGGAGGAGGAGGCCCCGGGTCCTTACCTGGGAGCAATGTCTATGAAGTTGACAAGGGCCCCAGATTGGCAGAGGCTGCTGGTGGCCAAACTCAGGACCAAGAAGGCCATGGTGACACCCAGGCTGAAGCTGACCCAGGGCAGGAGCACGGAGAACAGGCTGGGGAAGAGCACCCCTGGCAGGAGAGACGGAGAGCTGGGAAGCTACCCGAGCCCCCCACCCCCCTCCCTGGCCACCTGCGTCCTTACCTATGGCGGTGAAGAGCCGCCTGAGGACAAGGAGCGAGAGGATGCGTCTGGAGAGGAGGAAGTCCGCCAGCAGGCCCCCCAGGATGATGCTGACAAAGGCCACGCCAAGCAGCAGGGCGGACAGGAAGCCACTCTGCAGGCCAGAGGGGCGTCAGTGCAGGTGCACGCCCACCCCCCCAGGGCCGGCTCATCCCCTGGGTGCCGTCCACACCCGGCCGCTCTTTCGATGCCCATCACCGTCATCACACACCCCGCGCCACTGCAATGAGCCCACGTCACTTCTGAGGGGAAACGTGCGTGTAGTTTGAACACGGGATGCGTGCTCTCTCCGTATAGAAAGTCGCCGGGAGACAGGGGCTGAAAGAACCAGCCCCGGCTGGGGGCTCGCCGGTTAGAGCATCGTCCTGGGCGCCAAAAGGTTGTAGGTTTGCCTCCCGATCAGAGCACATGCCCCCCAGTAGGGGTCGTGCAGGAGGCAGCTGATCCATGATTCTCTCTCATCATTGATGTCTCTCTCTCTCTGAAATCAATAAAAATATATTATTTTCTTAAAAGGAAAAGGAGACCAATGGGACGGATTTAACAGGCACGTGGGCCAAGCTGTTTGTTCTACCAACGAGTAAACCAAAGGCCACCACGGTGACGTGTCGTCGAGAGAAAACACCCTGAGACCCATGGGGACCCGGGTCTGGGCCTCAAGTCTCTCTCCAGGCTTTCTACCGCCGCCTCCCCCGCACCCGGCCTCTGGGGGTGGGGACCCACCCGGCCTCGCCTCACACCCATTCTGATCCCGGGCCTGTGGTTCTGGTTCCGTCACCTGCTTCTGCCCTCACTCCCCCCTTCCCCCCTCCCTCCCTTCCCCCTCCCCTCCTCTCCCTCTCCTCCCCTTCTTCCTTCTCTCCCTCCTCCACCTCCCCTCCTCCTCCTCCCTCTCGATCCTCCCTCTCCCTCCTCCCTCCCCCCTCCTCCTCCTCAGGGAAGGCCCACAGCCACCCTCCCTTGGATTTCCTGATCCCAGCACCCACTGCCCGCGTGAACGTGTGTCCAGACTTGACTTCTGCTAAGGTCGCTGTTTGCTGGCCACTTAGCATGCGGTCACCAGAGGAGCCCCGCTCCATGAGCACACGGCTTTTTGAGCACAAACGGTGGGACTGTAGCAGGAATTCAGTGACCCTGTGAGCTGTCACCTGTGACATCTGATGAGCTCGTTACCTTTTACAACACCCACCTGGCTTACGACACCGCCTGGCTTACAACACCCACCTGCTGAGACCTGAGAGGCTCCATCAGCCAGTCAGAGCACCGGTGCATTGTGGGAAGATGGCGCACTGGCGCCTCGGGGCACCCGTCTCCGTACCCATCGGGCTTGAACAAAAGCGTTTACGTTTTTGGTGTAAATCCTATTAATAACGCCCTGCTTTTGGGGCCTGTTGCCTGCGAGTCTGTCACGGCCTCCGGAAAGGCGCACTTTGCTTTGCTTCATCCTTTCTGCCGTCAGCAGTGTCCTGTTTGCAGATGTCGATTGGGTTGAACACAGAATTTTCTCATCAATCCCTTAAAAAAGGTGACATCCTGCCAGGTCGGCGTGGCTCAGCGGTTCGATCCCCGCTCAGGGCACAGGCCCGGGCTGCACCTCCATCCCCAGTGGGGGGCGTGCAGGAGGCAGCCGATCCAGGACTCTCTCTCATCGTTGATGTTTCTCTCTCTCTCTCCCTTCCTCTCTGAAATCAATAAAAATATGTATTTTTTAAAAACATGGCATCCTTTGAATGTCACGCTGACCTAGAACCATACCGTTCGCCCCCCCAAAGCGGGAGGCCCCCCTGAGATGAATCAGAATTCAAGAGGCTGCATCTCCTACCGGAAGGTCCCGGGCCCCGAGCCTGGTGACCCCGGGGGAGGCGGAGGTCACGTGACGAGGCCTTGACACAGCAGAGGCGCATGCGCGCTCGCACTCACCGCGCGGAGGTCCACGTGGAGGACGGAGTGGAGGTAGGTGGGCAGGTACGCCATCAAGACGTAGAAGAACCAGTGCTCGCTGAACTGGGACAGCAAGGCGCTCCAGAGCGGCAGGGACTTGGCCATGGCCTTGACGGGGAGGGACCCGTCGGGTTCGCAGTCCTGGAAGAAAGCCGGGGCCGTGGCCCCCCCCGTGGAGACCCGGTCCCCCCGGAACTGGCTACAGCAGAGAGAATGAGGTGAGGGTGACTCTGGCAAGTCAGGGAGTCATGCCGTGGGGCCCCATCTTGGGTGGCGGCCACGTCCCCACCCCTGGCCCGGGCCGTCTTCCTTGCTGCTGCCGATGGCGTGGGGCAGTCCGGAGCCTAGCGTCTGCCCCGTGAGCTTGAGAAGGCCCTCCCGGTTGGACTGCCGGTCAGCATGGCCCCTGCTAGTCAGGCTTCTGCAAAGGTTCTTTCCTCGGGGCCCGGCCAGTGGGGCTCAGTGGGTTGGCCCTCGTGCACCGAGAGGTCGCTGGTTCGATTCCGGTCAAGGGCACATGCCGGGCTGTGGGCTTGATCCCAGTAGGGGACACGCAGGAGGCAGCTGATGTTTCTCTCTCGTTTTATTTTCTACTTTTTTAGTTGTGTGTGTGTGTTTCTCATCATTTTTTTAGAAATGTTTTTATTGATTTTAGAGGGAGAAGGGAGAAAGAGCTAGAAACATCAATGAAAGAGAAACATCGATGGGCTGCCCCCTACACTCCTCTGACGGGGGATCCAGCCCGCAGCCCTGGGCGTGTGCCTTGATTGGAATGGAACTAGCGACCGATGCTCAACCACTGAGCCACACCAGCTGGGCTCTCTCTCATCATTGAAGTTTCTCTCCCTCTCTGAAATCAATAAAAATATATTTTAAAAAATAAAAATATAATTGCACCAAGACAGCGTTTTCAGTATCTTACAAAAGAAACTCCTCTGGCAGCCTTTGCGGTTCCCCTGGAAACAGGAGGGAGTGTCGCCGGGTGTTCCAGCCAAGCCTCACGTGTCCTCGTGCAAAGTCACCACATAATTAGCCCTGAACACGGTCCTCTCTGTTATAACATCCACTTCTGTGAGGGTTTGGTTAGGCACGGGACTAGTGTCACAGACACCGCGCCCAGCCCCCACCGTCAGAAAATAAACGTCTACGGAGGCAGAGCTGCCTCAAACAGACTGTCAAACTGCAGCGGGTTGGGGGGCAGGAGGGAGGGGGGTAAGAGGTCAACCAAAGGACTTGTATGCATGCGTATAAGCATAACCAATGGACATAAGACACTGGGGGTGTAGGGGAGGCCAGGGGATTGTCAAGGGCGGGGGTGGGGGGGGAAGGCCACATATGTAATACCCTTTGTAATGCTTTAGAAAAAGAAAAGAAAAGAAACTTCTGAGATGGGAGAGACGCACAAACTCACCGAAGATGTAGAAGACGTATGGCCACCCGAGCGTCTCGCAGAGGAAGCCACCGACAAGGAGGACGGTCAAGGAGCCCAGCATGAGCCCTAAACACAAGCGGTGGCGATGCCGGGGTGAGAGGCCAGGCTCCGACTCTGCGTGCCCCCTACAGACTGACCTGGTCCCAACGCCGAGGCACAGGGTGGACGCCATGGGGGCAACGCCTGCCTCTTCGCTCAGGAGCCACGTGACCCTGGCCAAGTTACTCGTCTATTTGTGCCTCATTGGGCCTCGCGTGCAAAATGAAAATAATGTGTTTTAAGATAAAGTAACAAGTGCAAGGGTTTTTCTGCCCAGTAAGTGAGCAGTTATAATCAAGATAGTATAGTCCTAGCCGGTGTGGTTGTGTCGACCTGTGAACCAGGAGGTCACGGTTCGATTCCCGGTCAGGGCACAGGCCCAAGTTGCAGGCTCCATCCCCAGTAGGGGGCGTGCAGGAGGCAGCCGATCCATGACTCCCTCTCCCTCTCCCTTCCTCTC